AAGAGATAAAGGAGTTTAGACATGTAATTAACATCATCCAAATCTCAGCCCTTCAGTCATCATCCTATATCATGTAGCTGTGCAGAGCAAAGAACAGAGTAGTGGTAGCAGAGAGGCACATGAAGCACAGTTAAGTCTAGCAGAACCTGCCCTGTGACATTTTCCCTAGTTTTGTGCTATCCATACAAAAGAAGGTATTTTCCTCCTCACTTTAATTATGTTTCTACCTTGAAAACTGTACCTGTTCTCACTGGTAGTTTTATTCAGCTTCCTGAGCAAATATGCTTGTTTACAAGCAAACAAAAGAAACTTTTTATCAGCTGCCAGCCCATCATTTGTTTGGATCCCCAAGTGCTACCATACTACAAATATCAGGACCCCATTTTCTGGGGCACTAAGTAGAATAGAGATTCATCTTCTTTGAAGTGATCCAGCAAGGGGGCTTTATGTCTGTCTACAGCCAAAACACTGTATTTTTGAAGCGCCTCAAAGTGACCTGTATTTTGGGGGACTTCAAAACATATATCAAGAGTACTAAAGATAAGCCACATGATGGCTCCTGCCAGAAAGAGCTCACAATATAAATCAGGAAGGAGAGGAAGACAAGGAAAGCCTACAATATACAAGAGAATGTTATTTATTATATATACCCCTGCCTCTATAAGAGGCTCAGGGCAATTTATAATGAAACAGGCAAAAATATGTAAATGAACAAACCCCCCAGACAATACCCCAAAACTTAACCCCACAACAGAAGGCCTGCCCAAATAATAGTGCTTTCAAAAGATGTCTTGGCTCAAGCTCTAAAGGATCACACAGAGAAAGTAATTTTAGAGGTAGGGAACACCTGCTGAGAACAATCTCTCATTTGGTTTCACCAAATGAACTGGACACAGAAAGTATTTGCAGAAGGTTGCTCTAGGCTGACCTTAGACATCATGATGTAACGTAAGGGAGAAGGCAATCTCTTAAGTATGTACAATCCAGACCATTTAGGGCAGTGATTCTCAGCCCGAGTGCTGTGAAATCCTTCTAAGGGTGAATTAGCAAGATAATCAGCACAAGATAAACCCAGAGATTTCAAATTGAAACCCAAAGTCAAAAACACTCTGATCTGTTGTGGTCTTTGAGTTTTTTGAAACAGGAACAATTGCTCTATTACTTTTTCCACAGTAAAAAAATGATTGAAAGCTAAGAGCTGCATCTTTCGATAAGTGCCTTGAGTCTAAGACAGGGTGGCTTGAGCCTAAAAAGGTTTGAGAACCACTAGTTTAGGGCCTTATGAATCAAAACCAGTACAACAAGATGCTTTGAAAATGGCACATTAGCTTCCTGATTTATAGTTATTTCTTCTCCAGTAAAGTGACACCCAAGAAAATTTATCATAGTATCATAGTGCTTAGGGTCAGAAGGGACCTAAACAGATCATCAGGTCCGACCCCTTGTCCCGGGCAGGAACAGGGGCTGGGGTCATATCACCCAAGCCAAATATCTGTCCAGCCTCCTCTTGAAGACCCCCCAAGGTAGGAGAGAGCACCACCTCACTTGGGAGCCCATTCCAGATCTCCCTTCCGCAAGTTACATCTCCCAACAGTCATTGGGAAGGGCCTCCATGGTGTCCCCAGCTCTGTCCCCATAGGTGTCCCCAGTTCTGCCCCCACAGCTGAATTGGAAAGTTCACACATTTCTCCAACAGACACACTTCAGACACTGGGATTAAAAGCCCTGAAAACTGCTGCTGCTTCACAATCAGGAAGTGGCTCTGGTGAAGGACACTGGAGCACTGAGTGGAGTCCAGGGCCCTGACACATAGGCTTGGGCTTGTAATGTCATACTGAAGGGAGCAGCACCACTGCCAAGGCAACCAGGTGTTTCCCTCCCACATAGGGCAAGGTGCTGAGTGCTGGGGATGTGCGTGCACTGTTGATCTGACCTGGCAACACACGTGAGATCTGGGGGCTCTTACCCAGCCCAGGACTTCATTATACCCCTTAACTCTTTAAATGGCTTCTCCTGATATCCTCCTTGTTGAAGGCTTTCAAATAGATTTCAAGTGAAAGAATGTAGTGGGGACACTGAAGGGAGATAAGGAGAAGGCAGAGGTGAAGCGACTGAAGGAGCTAGAAGAAACATCTTAATCAGCAGTGGGAAAGAGAGAATCTCCAAACCAAAAGCTAGTCACACTGATGACACCAGAGTTCAAAAAGTCCTTGCTGTAATAGTTTCTCTAATATCACCACCTCAGATTGTGCCTGGCTCCTTTCACAAATTTCTTTTAGTCCCAAGCTTGTGTGCTGGTGGCTAGGACCTGGGTGGGGAGGGGGAAAGAGGAAAGGAGAGAGGAAGAAAGAAGAGTCTTTGAACAATAGTTTAAACTCCAAAAATAAATCTGAGAGCAGAGGCCAAACTAGAATATTATTTCAAATCACATTCACTAACACGTGCAATGAAGACTATACAACAAGTCAATTACACCCCTGACATCCCTTCACTCTAGTCTTCAAATTATGTTCTTGAAGGTCTCCCCTGCACAAGTACTAGTTCTTTAAGCGAGTTTACATATCACATGCCATATTGGACTGGCACCAATAAAAGGAAAATTAATATTAACAGCTTATTTTGGCTGGAGTGGCCAATAATGTACCAATATAATGTGCCTTCTGGCCGGGGCCTCAGACTCCACATGCATGCGCGCAGCTGCAGCATGCACATGGCCAGGAATGCAGCCAAGCAGCGTGGACAGCAATGCCCTTCAGGTAAATCTGTGGAGGGAAAGGGGTGTGGGAGAGGCAAGGGGCGTGGGGAAGGCAGACTGAGGGGCCCACGGTGAGGGAGGGAGTAGAGCAGGGGCTGCTCAGCCCAGGCAGTGAATGGGACCCAAGGATGGGGTGGGGACTGGGATGGAGCCACAGGTAACTCATCGGCGGGGGGTACAGCTCCCTGCTGCTGAGGCATGGGGCCATGTGTCCCCCTGGATTTGTGTGCAGGACGAGGGCAGATGTAAGATGCCCACTGTGGGCGTAGGGCTCTCCACCCTGCTACCTTTGCCCCAGGAGCCATGCACTGGCCACGCACCCCCTGCCCACTTGGCAGCAGTGGCAGCAGCAGGTTGTGCTTCCCACTACCAGATGGACAGGGGATGCGCTGCCAGTGCACAGCTCCCAGGGCAAAGGCAGCAGAGCGGAGAGCCCTGAACCTGCAAGCAAGCAGCCCACCTCCATCCTCACCCCAAGCTAGAAGCATCCCCACACTTAAAAATGGTGGCAGCGGCACTTGAACTAAAGCTCATTTGACAAGCTTTGGTTTAAGTGCTCCATAGCCGTTTTTAAGCACCAGGACGCTGACCCTCTGGATGAACAGCCCGTGGCTCCATCCTGCTATCCTGCTGGGATGCTATGACCCTGACTTCCTGCCCTTGGGGCAGGGGGCTGGACTCAATGATCTTCAGAGGTCCCTTCCAGCCCTAATATCTATGAAATCTATGCTGCCCACCCCAGCCTCAGGGTCCTATTTAATGCCCTGGCTGGGCAGCATCCCCAGCCCTTGCCCCACTCCCTACCTCACCATGGAGGCCTCGATCTGCCCCCCTCCCCTCCACAGACTTACCTGCAGGAAGCTGCTCTCCATGCTGCCCAACTGCATTCCTGTAAATCAGTTATCGGATCGGTATTGGCCAATATGCCTGGTAAATAATCAGTTATCAGTATCAGCCAAGAAAATCTTTATTGGTGAACCCTTACCTGCAACTCACTGAATGTTAGTAAACCATTTTCTCCACTATGACTTATTAGAAATAGAATCTAGCCCTCACTTAGCTACGTACTCTCTACTGGGCTACAGAGGAAACACTTGCCTTCTGACACTCGGGCAAGCTGATGGCACGCCAATTAAACCCAGGGAACCATAAACATTTTTTTTTATTTTATTTTCAGGAACATTCATTAGTTACGAGAGTACTAAGCATGTAACCTAAATTTTTCCATCTTGAACCTGTAAGTTATACTGCATAATTTCTATAATTTTGTGAGGTAACAACTGGTCATTAAAAATGTAACTAAGATTATTAATCTGTAGTATAGTCAAAGCCTTCAGCCATCTGCATTCACTCAGTTTTTCATCAAATGCAGAAAATCCCAGATAACTGAAGCACCACTATTTATTTTTATATCACATTTCTACTGCCCATCTGCTCTGAATTTTCTATTTATGGCAAAGCTTATGAAGTGGTCAGGTAGCTTGTGTGACATGGAAAGGAAGACAAGGACACAGAAAAGCAGAGAAGGTAAACCACTTAAATTACATTGGACTGACCTATTACCTCAATTTAGTCTCTCAAATCCAATTTGGTCACCTTTAGCTCCATAATGAGCAGAATCCATGACAAAGAGAGAAGCAGCAGCGAGAACTTGCTCTGCCCTTCATGTTCACAAGCAGCACTAGGGATGCTGAGCTTGGACACTACAAACAATTTTCCATTTTTGGCTGGTGATATTTCTGCTCTTTTTTCAACATGTGAAAAATTATTTCCCTTAATCTCCATTAGGGACTAAAAGAATAGGTCCATTTTATGTAGAGTTTTAGAGAGAAAACCATAACTAAGCAGAGAGAAAAAAAACTATTGTGTTTCATTTTCATAACTCCGGTCAAAACAATTTATGATTCTGTTTTATCCCATATGACATAGGATATGACCTCCCTCAAGGTTACATTAACAACATAATAGTATTATCCTTGAAGGCCCATGATCTGAATATACTGCAGACAAAGAAATATTATTTTGTCTATTAACAATCATTCCTACCAATCCTTATGGCCTTATATGGGAACCAACTAACACCAAAACTGTGTAGAAGATAGCTCAGATGGACAAAAAAAAATGTGTTTTTTAAAACTGAAGTATATACCAGTCCCTAATTAAATGCAAATAACCACACTCTGGTTTAGCTACACAGTTCTGCAAAAAAAAAAAAACCTCTCCTAAATTAAGAAAATAAATGTATATGGCTACCTAAATGCATAAAATTTAAAGATCATATGTAGCAGAACAGTAAACTTCTGTAATATAGTTATTTGCATCCAGTACAGAGAAATGTAAATATACAGGTTTTCAGGCACTATACAGGTAATTTTTGTGATGCATAATTAGAACTTTGCATGGGTGAAACTTCCAATGTCAGAATCTTGTATTTGTAAGAACTGTAATCCTGACACTCAAACTGCTTGTTTATACATTACAGAGAACAGCAGAGCTACACATTCTACTACAAATTATGTGCCAATTACATAGACACAGGCAGAACTGACACCCAACAATTTTGGTCTTCTGCCTTGCAGATGGGGTGAAGAAAACCATTTCTAACAATAGGTACCAGACTGCCAGTTACTAGCAACCTGATCCATCATCAATTATTTACTCTCACAAGAAGCTGCAGTTTCCATATGTGTTAGTAACTGCACATTGTACCAGAAAAAACTCCTCCCTCCTTCAGTCGGTTTTGAGTAATCTGAATGGCCGCCTTCCTTGACTAACAACATTTAGCATCTTATTTCAAAATCTGCATGTACTCCTGTATTTTGACACTCTTATTAAAGGCTACATTCACAATGTCACCTTTAAAAAAAAACAGCAGATACATCCCCATCATTGTGTCTGAAGTAACCTGGAGATACTCTCTCTAGTTATCAAAGCTGAAGCAAATATTCAGGAGTATTTAAATTGTAGCAACAATATGAAAGCTGGACAGCACCAACATGCCAAGCAGACATTGCTCTTTTTCCTCCTCCCCTGGCAATTATATACCCATGTTTATCTTTTTCTCCCTACTCTTCTTGCTCCACTGCAAGTACATAACTGTGGCAGCTCAACCTTACACTGTCACATACATGTATGGCCTTTCAATAATATGTAGGATCCCTACAATGCAAATTCAGTTCAGTACTGTAATCAACAGCAATCAATTTACAAACTGGTTTCACATTATTTTACAAATAATGTTATGGATGTCTCGTTCCAAAGCATCCAACTAACTCAAGGCTCTGTGGAAGACAGCTGAGGAACACAATGACCTGCTGCAACTACTGTTCAACATACCAAAGTACATAGTTATACCATTGCTAGCTGAGCAACTCCTTGAGAAACCAAAGGATGCCGACTGGTTTCTGTGCTTACAGCCTCATCAGCATTACTGACATAACAGCCAAGGTTGGTGCAGTTGACACTATAGATCTGCTCAATAGTTGCTCATCAATCACCATTTATTTGACAGAGGTCATCAACAGTTCTATATGGATCATCAACCACTGATATGCATTTCCAAGACTGATAAGCAGCAATGTCACTCACAGGGCTATAGCAATATCCAATGCAGGGTATCCACAGGATATGCCTATATGGCCTCGCCCCTACTATCTTCCCGTGGTAAAATTCCAGTGCGATTCCAACAGTTCTTACTAGTCACTGGAGTCACTTTGTCCCATCTTAGCACTGGCCAATGGACCATCCCACATTCTATTTAAGTGGCATCAGTAACACTGATGTGGAAACCTAGAAAATAATGCCTTTTTTTTTTTTTATCTTAGCAGGCAGTGATTGATTCTTAAGTCCACTAAACATTAGACAGTGGTGGCTCTAGAAACTCTACTGAGACATCCACTTTCTCTTTGGGATGATGTTGCTGGGGTGCACTGTTTATCAGCAATGAAATAGCGTTCTCATGTTTCATTCAAGTCAAACGACTGCAGGAATTCTTGTAGAATCCCATTCATCATGACTCTCTTCCTGTTTGCTTAGCACAGCACAGATTCCATGCTCTTCCAATGTTTGTAGGCCTGTTTATTTGTGCCAATAATATTTGCATACCGGATGTCATATATCTGCTCCTTCTAGTTTTTGCCTCCTTTGGTTTTGCATGACCATCAATAAATTGTCATGCATCATTCAGGTAAGTCAACCTGTCTAAACTACGGGCCCACAGAGCCAGGGGTCTTCAATGGAATTCCAGCAGTGCCAGAACTGGGCTGGCAGAGAGATACAATGGTGGCAGCAGCCAGATCCTAATGCCAGCCTCCCTCGAACCAAGGTGGCGATTCCAGCCCACCACTAGAAAAGGCTGCCATCTCTTGGTCTAAATTATAGATGCCACACAACAAGTACCCCTCAATCCACTGCTGGGCCTGCTCTCAGCCACTGATGAGCAGAACTAGATAAATGCTTGTACTTCAACTGTAAATTAAATGATGTGCAATTTGCTATACACCCTCGACTCAGTGAAGCTATAGATTAGAATGCACAAAGTCTACCAAGTCAAGCTTCACAACAAAATGTTTAGCTTTGTCATGCAAGGTTGCATCCATTGTTGTAAGCACTCTCAGACTACAACTGCAGCTTGCCTTCTAAATCAGAGGGGGCTAATCTGAAGCACAGGTGCCTAAAGTAGCAAAGCCAGTCCCTGTGTGGGGCATGTGGTGGATCAGGGAGCGGACAAGCAGCACAGCAGCAGGTGGGGCAGGGAGTACATGGAACAAAGTAGACAGCAGAACAGATCAGGGAGAAAGCACAGGGCAGAGAGCAGAAACAGCAACAGATCAGGCAGGGGAAGGAGACCAGAGTGGCACTCGCAGGGTCTGGGACTAATCAGTTCTAGATAACAAATCACAGAATCATAGAAAATTAGGGTTGGAAGAGACCTCAGGAGGTCATCTAATTCAACCCCCCGCTCAAAGCAGGACCATCCCCAACTAGATCATCCCAACCAAGGCTTTGTCTAGCCGTGTTTTAAAAACCCCCAAGGATGGAGATTCCACAACCTCTCTGGGAATCCCGCTCAAGTGTTTTATTAAGCTCCCAGTGAGAAAGTTTTTCCTCATATCTAAACTAAACTTCCCTTATTTCGCCATTCTCAGCTTCTTTGGAATGTCAGCACTGTTTTAATCCATCGTTTTACTTCTTGGTGATATCATTACTGGTAGCGTAACATATTTTGTTTTGCAAACGCTGAGATATACTGTAATGACTATGTTCAGTGCATCTGATTTGCAACTGCATAATGTGGCAAACAGCTCTGTGCCCATGTTTTTGGATACATGGATTTTAGCATAACAAGAGATATGAGTATGTAGTTAGTGTACGGTAATGGGGACATGCAATTACCAGCACAAACCATGCATTGAAAAGCATGCTTTTTAACCAATAAAAAATAACTTCCTGAAGAGCATGGAATCGGGCAAAAATTACAAAAACAGTATAACAGAATGTCTGAATGCCCATGGCAAGGGCAAACATCAAGTTCAGTAGCTTTTTGAGGTAATCAATCCAGATGGATATTAATGACAATTCTGGCAAAACAAGGAGCAACAGAAGTATATAGTACCTATACAGAGTATTAAGAAGCCATAAATGTCCTATCAAAACTGAATTGTAAAGAAAAAATTATGGTAAAATAAACCGACTATTTATGATTAATTCCTATCGATAAATGAATGCACTCATCATTCACTTACCTTATTCTTGATAAGATACCACTTTTTAAAAGAAGGTACTTAAACTTTTCCCCTCATTAAAGGTTCATCCTTTCCCTCACCATCTTTCTTGTAAGAGCTAGAACTCTGTTGAAGCCTGGAGAGGAGTTCTGGAACAAAGGCTGAGTTTAGGGAACATACCTCAATTGCTGCACATATATTACAGAGTAGTCTGTCAGGCCATAGTCCAATTCACTCATTGAATAATCCATTAAAAACATTGAGTCATATTTTCCTAGACTTTTACACTCTCTGAGAAAACAAATACAGATGTTTCACTCTTACGGGCATGGGTGTCTGCTGAACAATACAAACAGGTGTCTTGGCAATCATTTATGGCAAACAGTACTGACCAATTTACGCAGATGTTATATCTTGGGGAATTAGGCGTAGTACTTTTTCTATTGGTAAAAGAAAGAGGAGAGAAAGGGGAAAAAAAACTCCTTTTCACAACCCAAGCTACATGAAATCTACTTGCTGTTATAAAATACGAACTATTCTTCAAAGTATCCACATTAAGCTAATCTGGTCTAGAGCTAAGACTGCAGATAATTGCACTCAAACAATGGTTCCAAGAAAGAATACAGCAGCAGTTGTTCCCACTTCACTCTTTATATGCTATGGTGCACAAAGATAGCAGGTGTGTATGTGCAAACACTGCCAGCAAAATGCTCCTACCTCAGGCATATGGATCACATGCACAAGCTACAGTGGGATACACACCCAGACAAGCACTCAAACAACTCACTAGACAACTTAAGAGTTATTGACGGCTGTCAAGAGAATGAAAGAGCCATTCTCCTGAGAGACTGGAAGAACTGAATTAAGACATTCAAGTGCAAAAATGTAATAAAATATTAAATACTGTTTTTGAATGTACAGAATAAAATATGCCAGAGTACTGAATTAAATTAAATTAATTTTAGTAACTATCAATTAAATGTTTCATATTTATTCAGATTACAATGTTTGTCTCCAGATCTAAGCAACTGTTAACTATGCTTGCAATTTCAGTACCTAATCTCCTTATACTCACATAATTCTTGTGACTGGACTGCTTAGTTGTGATGTCACTTTCCCCTTCTATTCTTTTGCCCTTCAAATACCTAATAAAACAGCAAAGTCAGTCACTTATTTTCCTTTTGCTTTTCTCTGCAGTGAAAACATCAAGACAAATTTGTTACAAAATGATTTAAAAGCTATAAAGTCTAAGAATAAAACATTTGGTGCATAGCAAGGTTTACAAGATGGCTCCAGTTAAAACAGAAGACCACCTCCTCCTTCAGAAAAGTAATGCAAATGGTAAATCCGTTTCAATATTGTCTATTAAAGACCATGGTATCTTACTGCAACTCAGTCAAGCTTCCTCCTAGAACCAGAATTCTTTCTTAACACAAGTTTGATCTATCAGGATCAAAAGTCAAAGTTATTATGGTATATAGTGCTTAAGTCCATATTACACTGGCTAAACACTATTTGATACATAGTAAGGAAGTACTAAGCAAAGTGGTTCTCAACCTGTTTAGGCTCCTGACACTTCTCCATAATTTCCACGAGTTGAGCAACACCCCAATCCAATAACTAATGTATTTACTGAAATACTTAAATCCTGGAAGGGTGGGAGAAGGACCAACCACTTAGCTCCCCACAGGGCAGTGGGATGACCATGAAGCTTTACCACTTTGCACTGGAGGCATCAAACTGGAGGCCTCCCCTGAGCTTAGCTCCTAGCACAAGGGATGGGAGAGGAGTAAACATGTAACTCCTCAAATGGGATGGCAGAGACAAACCACAAGCTTCCCCAGAGACAAGGCTGCACTTACTTCCTTGCACAAAGGCCAGGAGGGAAAGAATAAGTGTTTATCTCCTCATACCCTGCATCACCCTCAAAAAGTTCCTGCTCACAGAACCCCTGTTGAGAACCACTGACTTAGACTAAACAATAGCCATCAGTATCCAATTACAGTGGAAAGACTTCGGAGCAGTGACTGCATCTAACTTCTACATGCAGCATCATGCACACTCCAAACTTTACACACAAGCATCACATAACAGATACCAAACATTATTTATAACTAATAAAAATCTAGTCAACAAGATACTTAACTAATCTTTCATTAAAATGCAGATTTTCATGACACTTAACACCTGATAATTATGTCACTGATATCCCATGCTCCAGGTTACAATCATACATAAATCAAATAATCAATGAAAGTTCCCTTTCCTATAAGGATTTTTTTCTTAACTAGTTGCATGTTTCTTACCAGTGGCTGAGTGGCATAGTCCTCGCAGTGGGGAACATAGGTTATTTGTCTTCTTCAAGCAGTGTGACCCTCCCCACCTTCTTCAGACTAAGATTTAGTTAATAAACTAAATAAACAGCTGTAAAAACAATGCTACTTTAGGTTGGAACTTGTTGCACAATGTTTTAAACTTATTTCCTTATCAATCTGCTGTGCTGAGAATAAAATCAACACTGCAGCCAGTATAACATTTTGAAGTACTGATGAAAACTGACGGATTGCCACATATTTGTTCTGTCAGACTTGTTCTAACATATCTCCAGGCCAAAGACCAAGTTCTCTCTTCCAAAGTCTTCAAGCTTCAACACCTGATTTTAGGTATCTCCGAGTTGACTCTTCAAATGCAGTTCGTTCACAGGTCTCCTACAGTCCACCAGGCCAAGACTCTCAGAGAGCCCTATGGCTCCATATTTACACTGCAAATATAATGGTGTCAGAATAAGCTGTCTCTTACCATGGTTAAAACGTATTTCAGGGCAAATGGAACCTAATGCTTAAGATTCTCATTCTCTCCCAAAACTAAACATACTTCAACCACTTCAAAACAGGTAGTCCTAACCACGCACTAGTGCACCAAAGTGGAACTTGTCTAAGAAACTGAATAATAAATCAGAAGTACTGGTTTCTGGGACATAGTAGGCCATTTGAAAGATTCTTAAGGAACAGCAGATTTAACAGCCCAGGAGACAACAAAACCTCTACAAATTTACATGCCGGCATCACCTGGGACTCCCTGTCAGCCATCTGCTCTGGTTCACTCCACAATTAGACAACCGAATTAATTTGATCAGAGAACACACCCATAACACTTTAGAACATGACACATCAAAAAAATTGTGACAACACTTCTTAACTGAACTGGCAATACGGCGATTGATGTACAATTTTATTCCTGAAAAACTAGGGCATAAACAATTTGCAGTCCTCCAAGCAATATTCACTTCTATCTGCCTGAGGCATGTCGAGCACATAGGCCAACTAAAAACCATGTTCACACACACACACTTCCTCCACCTCCATCATCTGTCCGAATCGCTGCCCACCCTTCCTTCACATAGTAGGGAATAAAACTGTCAGTCTGCAATATAAAAAAATAAAAAAAACATATTTAACTAAGCAGCTTATTGCTAACAAAAGAATCTTTTCCCCTTGCCTTTTCTAACGGTCAAGACTATTATTTGGGAAGCGATCACCAATTCCGAAAACACTGAAAGGCCCACTGCTTCACAAAGGTATAAGACCTTAGAACAGAAACATTAAGAGAGATTTTATTTTATTTAAAATCTTCAGAAATTGTGCATGCATGCACTTTATTAACACAATAAGTTTTTTTCCATTCTGTCATAAAACCAACTTTGCAAGGTCTAGCAATAAAACAAAGTAAATATTCGCTCCTGTTCCTTGTGCTTCTCCTCAGCGAAACCGAGGGGTGTGTGTATTGCACAGTACTGTAACCAATCCTCAGTTCCACAAGACAGGGGTAACCCTCAGGGCACTTCACTCTGATCGGTGACTTTCTATGACTGCACCTGCAGGCAGCGATCCCCTAGCTCTCCCAGACTTGTGTACAAGTTCTACACATATAGGGATACAGTCAAAAGATTTTACAATGAAAGTTCTCATTAGGTCCCCAGATCATGATGGTCTTAAAAAGTCATTTTAAAGGGCACAAAGCAGCAAGGCTCCTTTAAAAGGATGTCAAAGGGTCAATGCAACTTTCATGGGGTACACAGCAAATTACAGCTGGTATCAGTTCCTCTTCATGCCCCTTGTTGCTGTCATGTGCAATCTTCATGGTAAGTGGCTTTTTGTGTGGTTAAAAATGTTGTGGAACCAGAGAATGAAAACATGAACTATTTTCAAATCAAATTTTTTCTTTTGCCTTGTCCTTATTTCAGTCCTAAGGAAGCAATCAGCAACACAACCACTTTATTCAACCATTTCAAATGAGCCTCTGGATGCTAACTAGCCTTGAAAATGACAAGGGACTGAGGTACCCTAAAGAACAGGCAACAATACTGTCAGAAACGCCACTAAATATCCCAGGATCTGGACTGACTGGGTGCTGCAGAAGTGAGAGTCCAAACGACTTTACCACCACCAGCATCACCCAAATACCATCCTGCTTCCTACCAGCCCAGAAAGCACAAGGCAAGCTCCACCTGCTTTTGAAATGCCAAAGGTTTCACTTCTTCATCCAGGCTAAATCCCCCTGTATCACTTACCTCTTGTTTTTATTCAACTTACATTCATATAGCTAACCTATTTTTAAAGCGTTCTTATAGCTTAAAGCACAGGCATGACACAGATGTGCGCAGAGACAGACACACATGCTCCCACTAACAGATGTACACACAGACCTGAGCAGACCCAGATCCATGCAAACACGCGCGCGCACACGCGCACAAACCCACACAGATATGCATGCACACATACGTGCACCCAAACACGCACACCCACACAGACATGCATGTGCACACATACAGACACAAGCAATACTGATACACACGCATGCATACAGACCCAGGCAGACATGTGCGCACACTGACACGCAAAGACCTGTGCACACATTCATAGACATGCACACCCATGGACACGCACACGAGTCCACACTGGCGCACACGGAAATGTGTGCACACTCAGGCACACACGCACACAGACCCACGCAGACAGCAGGTACACTGACACATGCGTGCACACACGGACACACACACGGACACAGGCGCGCACTGACGCGCAGACAGACGCGCGCGCAGAGCTGCGGCGACGCTCGGATCCGGCCCCAGTGCCCGGGCGCAGC